ACTTGACGAAGAATTGTGGCAGGCCCTATTGAAGACTCGAGTTGAGTTCATTGAAATTAACGCGCCCTATGGAATGCCGAAGTGTTGCCCAGAATGGATAATAAAAAACGTATTGCCCAGTGAAAACGAGAATTGCCAGATCCTCATTTCTCTTCGATTTTATCCGAACGACGAGGATGATGACGAACATGATACTTTTGCTGCTAATCCTTTATGGAAAAGTGCAGAAGATGTGAAGCTTTGTAGAGAAGTGGAGTTGGAATTGAGAGGAAGGCTTTTCTACAAAGTTGAGAACTTTATTTCAGTACAGTGTTTTAAGAAGAGTGGTTGCGTGGATGATTTGAGATTTTTGATGGCCAAAGAACCCAGGCGAACTTACGGCGCTCGCGAGCGTGATACTTTTGTGATGCATTTCTTTGTGAGACGATTAAAGTCGAAGCGATGCTTGTTTTGACTCTGACTTTTAATTCAAATCAATCTTCAAAAACTACCATAGTTGTGACTCTACTTTTATCTAATCTATGTACTAAAATCTTTTCATGTGTTTCAAGTATCATCAATGAAGCTTCAGAACAAGCATTACTTTATAGTTTACCAATTCAAAGATTTTTCAAAAAGTAATGCTTGTTTGCTTTAACTTTCCCGTTTTGAAGCGATCGTACCAAACACAACATTGTTTAACACCAAACACAAACACAACATACTCATTCTCCATTTCCCCCCGTTCGATTTCCCTTCGCTATTCAACGAGGCGGAGTGACGATACATGAAGAAGGCGATATGATTGTTAGATTTGTATAGGTTTGTATTTAAGGAACAGTTATTTAGATACAAATTAGCAGATAAAGGTGCTCCAGAGCAGATAAAGGTGCTCCAAAAAAAGTCAAAGATACTAAGTTTGTTGTTGAGCTATATTTCATTTATTTAGTACCTTGTTGACTCGCTGTGTCAAGTACAACTCAACAAGGAATTCCAGACGACCGATTGGCGTGTTAGGTCTGAAAAACCTTGGGGTTTATGTTATTCCTTTTATTTTTAGACCACTCCCCGAAGAAATGATGCACTACGCCCGGGAGGACACTCACTATTTACTCTACTGCTATGATCTGCTACGGGAAAGACTTTTTCAGTGTGAGTGATTGTGGAAATCTCTCAATTAGTGATCTTTTTAGCTGGAAACGAAAGGACGAACAATTTACTGGAAGACGTTTACAGGGACTCCAAGGAGATTTGAAGTTTGAAGTTTGAACGTTTGAAGCTCATATCTCGTAATTGTCGCCAAGTTTTGGTAGAGCGTTCAAGCCGGCAATTGTAGAAATTGCTAAAAATGCAACGTTTACTTGCCTTTTTTAAAAATTTGTTCATGAAAACTTTCTGCCAGCGAACAATCTCACAATTTAATCTGATAACTTCAAATCAGCCTCTTTTTGTTGCTCATCTTGATTGGATGAGCTGGGTTGAGCATCGGAAGCGGTTGCTTCATCACTTTCCATTTTCCTATCTAAATTTCATTCATAAAATCCATTTAGCAAGCAAAGAGTAACAAAAATGAAAAATTGCCTTGAAAAATCTAACAACTTCACGAAGAGCAACAAATTGGCCTATAACTGAAACATTAAAGAAATCGTGCTATTGTGATCCAAGAGATCCAAAAGATCAATTTCGAGATGTGGAGACTAGTTAAATCAAAAATGGCTAAAATCCTAAACAAAGTGAAACCCATAAGTTGACTACTTGATTTTAAGGGGAACCTACCAAAAAGGAAATGGATTCAACTTTCAATGAATAGCTAGCATCTGACTATCAATTACGTAAAGCAATGGTTGAGTTGATTGAAGAAAACCTAGAAATCTCCCAAAGAGACTTTCTTCAAAGACAAATTTTGAGCGAATAACGGGAAATTGATCGATTTGGTGATGAAAAACGTGAAGAAATCGTTGAAATCCAGTAGCCGAAGACTTGTAGAAGATTTTTGAGAGGTTTGTTCACAAAAAACGTTAGAATCCCGCATTGAAGGCTTGTAAAGATTTGTTTAATCCAAAAATGTAGAAATCCAATAATCGATCCTCTTTCCTCAATTAGATGTCGAATCCGGCGTCTCGCATGCACTGTTTGTGCGCCTCCGATGAATTTCCCGCAGTGTTCCTCACCATTTTGAATGATGCACTCGCCGCGTACGCGTTTCGTGTCTAAATTACACAGTTAGCGCAAGATTTATGTAAAAGAATACAAAAACAAATGTTCTACAGATAAAAACTACCTGGACACGCACAACACGGCTTCAACCTCGGCGCCTCCTTTTCGCCTTTTTGCTGCTGTTACTTTAAAAATGTTTCAAGAGTGAACGCGTTTCGGAATATCAAATAGATCAACGATGACGTGAAAATTGAGAGAAATTTGACAACTTCGGCAACTTTTTATGCTCTATTAGCTAAAACTAAAGCTTTTGCACAGCTTTGGGGTTAAAAACGCAGAAATATGCCCCTTTCTGCCTCCATCAGACGCCTAAAAGCGGCTCTATCTCGCGCTTTCTGTGCAAAGAGAAGCTCTGATCACAAAATGAACCAAATGATTTATCTAAATGACTAAACTTGCAAGAAAACCGCGTCATTCGGCTAAATACTCATCCAAACATCATTCCTTTGAAATTTAGCATTTTAGCTTGAGCTAAATATCTTAATTCCCTTTATAGGTTATGAAATGTTTTCCTGCTTTTTTATCATTTTTCGTTCGTTAGCCATCATGAAGCGTTTGTAAGGATTTTATTCGCCTTTCTACCGATTTTATGCACAAATTGTAACAATCTGACTATTTTCAGCATGGTGGGACTATTCGGAAAGAAAAAGGACCCGAAGGAGCAAGTACGAGAGCTGCAGGTAGGGTTTTTCAATAAATTTGACTTTCTCACCGGTCCTGGGCATGATTTTTTTGGTTTTCTTGGGAAAAACTAATGGCTGGTACTGCAACTATAATCGTTAAGCATGTATGCCACAACTTTGCTGATTCCATTTTATATAACGTTTGTTTTAGAGAAAGATGCGACAAGAGATGAGGACGCTCGACCGTCAAGTTTACAGCATTCAACGTGAGGAACAAAAGGTAAGACAAGTTGTCGGCTACCTAAATAGTGTTTAAAAGAAACTTGTTTAAAGAAAGGCGTTTAAAAGAAACAGAAAACTTTTTTAGTTTAGTAGCTTTATGCAGATTCAACTTTCTGCCAGCAAACGATCTCGCAATCTCACAATAGCTAGCCTTAGCCTTTGTTAGATAAGCTCTTATCATTTAAAAAGCTCTTTAAATCATTAAATCATCATTTTATTGTAAATCAATGGATTACGGTAGTTTAAATAAGAAATAGAATGATAAAATGTAAAAATTTCAGCCCAGCCATCGGCATTCGTCGACCACAATCAGACGCGAGAATGGGTTCGTTTTTTGACAAGGATTTCAAGCAGAAGCTCAAGATAAGCCTTCTGTAGAAACTGGAGATAAGCTTAGTTGCATATGGACGATAGAATTCAAAAAAAAATCTTTTTCCCATAAAATTCTCGATTTTCGCATCTGATAGCCTTCTCCCAATATTCTAACTTTAAGATTCTCCTCGGGAACATCGCTCCTCCTCATTAGCAATTTTTGAACCTTTTTTGCTCTTATACTAGATATCACCATGGTAAACAAAAAGGAAGTTGTGATTTCAGAGCCTTTTTCTGTTTTTTGCGTAGGCTTTCCAGCATACGACTTCCAGAAAAAATCTCCAGAGAGATTACCATTGCCCTCTGCTCCAATGGAAACAAAACCAGATATAAATTGTGTGCAAGACTAAGAGAGATAATGAACCAAATTTAGAGAGTCATTCATTTTTAATTTAAATGCCTAAATTTTTCGTTTTTTTTATTCGTTGAGTTGACTTTTGAGTATTAACCTTGAAAATGAGGAGAAGCACACCTGAAAAGTATCCATTAGCTAGTGTGCATTCCAGAATGGAACTTTGCTTCAGGAATAGAGAAAGATTCAACTAATTCAACTAGTTTGATCTCAAAATCGAGTTACTCAACCAAATGAAAAAAAGTACCCCGAAAAACGCATCCATTAACTAGTGTGCATTCCAGAATGCAACTTTGATTTAGGAATATCGCAACATTCAACAAGTACACGAGATTTCTTTGATGCAATCAATTTGATCTTTTAATTAGCTGAATATCTTTTACACTTGATCTTTAATGCAATGAGCTTATTAAATAGTTTATTTTGAAGATTTATTTAGTTTTTTTATTCTTTATTCCAGGTGCTCTCCTCGGCCTTTCACAGTCCGTTTTGGGTCCTTCACATCAAGCTCAGCAACAAACAACACAAGAGCAACATCGTCATCGACAAACACATCAATCCACAACAACATCGATCAGGTAACTAATTCGTACTTTATACCTCATGTAGGCCAGAATCTTAGGGGTAGATACCGGAATTATCTTTTCAATTTTCCTATTCAATAGCTATTTTCAGTCTCCACTGCTCCCGCATTTGTTGTCGCCCTTCCACCGGTGGAAGATCCAGAGAGCTCAGCAGAGCCTGCCACGGTCGACATCGAGTCGATGGAAGAGTTTGTATGCAAATGGGCAACATGCGGGAAAGAGTTCACAACCAAACAGGTAGTGTGTATAGTTATTATTCCCAAAAATCGTCCCAATTCAGCCCTTCTATGATCATGTTAAAACCATTCATGTCAATCCAATTATTGAGTACATTTGTGAGTGGGAAGATTGTAAGAGGTAAGGTCTCAAATATTAGGTGAACAAGCCTTTCCTTCCTTTTTACCTTTCCTTTTCAACAACCTAATAACTCTAAAAGTTTCAAGTGGACTTTAGAAAAAAGAAGCCCTTCGAAGCTAACTACAAAGTTGGTGGGTCACGTAAGATAGCACACTGGAGAGAAACCACACAGATGTGAAGTGGTTGGATGTTTAAAGGGAATACAGGCGCGTCGGGGATCTCAAAGTCCACAAACGATCTCACACCGGCGAAAAGCCATACAAGTGTACCAGATGTGGAAAGGTATACAATCACTTCAATACAGGTCAATCCATTGTTTCAGGCGTTCAGTAATTATAGTGATCAAGCCAAACACCAAAAATCAAACCCATTCAAATGTGGTGAGCTAATAAAGGAAGAATTTAACAAAGTACCACAATTTAGAAGGGTTTCAAGTGTCAATATGAAGGATGTCCGAAGGCTTACACCGATCGAGGGAAGCCTCCGCAAGCACTTTAGAGGGAGTCACGGTGATAAGATGAATGAAAAGAAAAAGAAAATGAACAAGTTAATGGAAGCTGGCAAACGATGGCCGAAAAAAGGTTTAGAAAAATACAAAATTAATTTTAACATTTTAATATTATGATTAAGAGCAAGAAGGGTTGTGGCTCAAAATATCGTGAAAGCAACATCAGGCCTGGCTCTGGAGGGCGAGAAGGTGAGACGAGTGCGAAAAATGGAAACGAGAAGCCGATCAGTGGGCTTCGGCTCAACGTTGAAGGATATCTCACTGCTGCTGCAGAATTGGGAGAAAGTTTGTTGTGAAATTATTTCGCAAATCAAAACACTTGATTTCAGTCGCAGAATCGGAAGCAATTGAGCTGGGACTTCCAGAAGGGAGGCGTGAAGGCAATCAAATCTACAGAAGTGCCAACTTCGGGCCGGTTCGTCAAAAAGAACGTTCATTAACAAAGCAGATTTAGCTTTATGAACAAACTGGACGCATGCGGGTTGCTGGCTATGAAGAAGATCAAGACATAGCTGAGGTTGTTAGTGTAAAATCAATCAGTGAGCAAGTTCGAGCCAAACACCAAAACGCCCATTCAGATGAGGTGAGCTAATAAAAGAAGATTTTAACAAAGTACCACAATTTAGAAGCGTTACCTGCGCGGTTATCAAGGATGTCCGATGGCTTACACCGATGGACAACGATGGACAAATGGCCCTGACTCGGCAGGACCTTCATCGGAATTGGAATAAATTGGAATAAATTTGACTGGAATAACTGGAAATGGACAAAAAAATACGCTTCTCGGGAAAGGGTTTTCATTTCAGCAAAACAATGAAAGAATGAAAATAGCTTACTTTAATTCTTCAGCTTGATTGAATATCTTTAGAAATTGAAGAGTTTAAAAGATATAAAAATAAAAATAAAAAGTCATATTTGACTGTTTTTCTCAATTCTAACTTTATTTTTCCTCATTAAAACAATTCTAGAATGTTAAAGTAGTTTAAAACTTTCAAAGTTTTAGAGTTTTTGTTTTTGTTTTTGTCATTTTTGATTGCTTTTGTTTTGTTTCAAATCCAAAAAAAGCTTTTTGAGTAAACAGATTTTCAAAATATTTAGTGTGAGTTTCAAAGTAATTTAACTTCAAGCTAAAACCTTGAGTTTAATGTACTGGTGCTGGGCCGTCTTTACTTAATTAAAATCGCTTCTTTCTAGCCTCAACTGCTTCTTTCATTACCCTATTAAAACAATTCTTCTGCATTAGAGTTGTAAGTTTCAAAGTAATCAACTACAGCTCAATTTTGCGTTTAAGAGTTCGTTTTTTTCGCTTTTTCCATTTCCCCATGAAAACATTGCCGCGTTTGAACGAAGCGTTTACAAATTCGAGCACTTTGTTCAACTTACATGGATTTCTCGTAGCTCTTTCAGGTCGACCCTCAACTGATCCCTTTCTTGCTAAATGAGAGTTTCTCTATAATATATTACTCTAATAGACTCAAAAGTAAATACTCTAATAGAAGCCCTACAGAAGCGTCGCGGTCCACTCAAACAACGCTTTGAACGGTCCACTCAAACAACGCTCAAACAACGCTCACTAAGCTTTGAACAAGGATTTTGTTCTTTATTTTCCATAGAGCAAACCATGATTAGTTGTAATGCTTTTGATTAACTTGACCAAAAGTTGAAACCCAATTATTTATCAATGAACCCAATAATCAATGCACACTCTTCCCCCAATAATAATGAACACTCTTCCCCATCACCCAGATCAAAGCTCTGTGAATGGGGGACATGCAGCCGTAAAAAAGGGATGTTTCCATAGGTTATTTGAGAACTTTATTGTAGCAAATGTCGCGTATAATGTTCTTTAGACAAAAGGACGTCTCTTCCCTTTTATATAAAGTAAATTCATTTTGAAAAGAAAAAGCAAAACTAATTTTCTCGGGGACGAATCCACGACTCCTCTGGGGTAGAATTTCTCTACATTCTACTGTATTCTTTCTATCAGTGCAGCCAAAACCTCGTCTACATTCCTCAAAATCTCGAGAACCTTCTAGATTTAATTGATCGCTTTTTGGAGGACTTCAACTTACCAAGGTGGCTATTTTATAGTTTATCTTCTAGAAGTGCTTGTCTAGTTTTGCAGATTTCAAACAGATTTCTAGGCAGCCAAATTTGGATCAGAAGCTCAGACTTGATTTTGTTGAGAAATAAGGTAAAGATCTAGATTCTAGCTTTGCCTAGATGCTTGGTAAAGCCAGCCGACGTAGAGAAGAGAGAAGACGTTGAATCAAATGCCAACCTGTATACGAATTATATGTGAATGATGTCCGGATGGTGTTTGTGATTGATTCGGTGTCTGGGATGGGATTTGCGAGGCTGAATGAGCTGCTGCTGAGGTGGCAAGACTCTGCGCCGGCACCAGGAACATTGGGAGACCCGTTGCCTGCAATTCGAAGTGAAATCGTGATTTATTGAAGTTAGTTTTTCAGTTTTTTTGGATTTTCTTGATTTGGAATCAGCATAAAATTCCCTATGGAACAAAAAGAAACGGCATCTCGAAATTCGATCTGGACGTCAAGGAAAGTGTTTGTGACAGACAGGCAGACGGACAAACAGACAGGCAGACGTTTTTTTCTGCTTTAGGAAAAGATTTGTGACCTGTTCATCCGTGCCACCATTCGCTTGCAAATGGCGCGTCGGGATCTCGGTGGAAGATCGGAAAGCATGTAGCGACAGCGGAGAGACGTCTGTAAGTCTTCTTTCTTTAGATTTCTTCATTAAAATCACAGTTTAATCAAAGGAAAAGCTTTTGTTAGAGTTCTAACATCAATTGCGATAATCGAATTATGATAATTGCAATCTCCTGGCACCATTTCGATAATATTAGCTGATCTGTGAGTCAATTTTCACAGCAAAAATCGTGTTACAATGTTCTAAAGCCATTGTTAGTCCGTGAAAAACCGAAATACACTCCGAGTGTAAACAAAAACAAAAAAAAAACCCAAGCCCAAAAACCCATCGAAATTTCACCGCCAACCTATCAATCGCCTTTCATCGCCAAAAGTCGCTCGCATTTTCTTCTCGATTTCCCCTCCAACTGCCTTGCCTCAATCTCTTCCGGACTCAGCGATCCATCGTGAATCTTCACTCTCGGTGCCATACTATTAGAGAAAATCCGGTAAGCTACTAAAAACCAAATTTGCAGAGATGATTCGATTTCGAATCTAATATTGATAATGATGGATCATCAACATAAAGTATCTTCAAGGAAACTACCGCTTTTTGAAAGGCTGAAAGGTCAATGCCGTTGCCTGTAAGTAAACAAGTAAACAATTGCTAGAGCAATTATGATTAAATTGCAAAAACTCGGCGTGCAATCCGACGCGAGTTTGATAATTCGGTACGCTGGTTCCGGGTTGACTTTCGAAGCTGAAGCTGAACACTAGCAAATCTCATTAGATCTTCAACCTCTTGCATCTTAAGACCAACTTTGAAACTTGTTCTTTTTGATCCGTTTTCAAAAATATATCAAAATTAGCAAAATATCAAAATATATCAAAATTCTGATCACTGAATATTCTAAAATGTGCTAAAACTTGCAATTAAGTTTGATCTGAAATTTCTTTGTTTCAAAGTGCTCGATTTGGAGAGCAAAATGAGTTTTCAGTTGAGGCTTTTCTTGTGCCATTTTGCATTCATTCATTACCGAAAACCTTGACTCTTTACTAAAATCTATTCATTTTTGCCTTTTAAACACCACAAAAACATGAGTCTCTTGGAAAAAACGGAAAATATTTGACAGAAAAAAATCGGGTTTCAAATTGGAGAGATAAGATGATGCGAAAATCCAAAATTTCTGCTATTTTTGGTCTTTTTCTTGAGATTTCGGCATTTTTTGGGGTTTTTCTTTGGAAAATCGATTTTCTAAGGGTTACGGTAAGTCTGGGTAAATAAGTTTTGGTGTTGTCTGCGAGAGAGAGGGACAACTTCTCGATTTCCCCTCCAACTGCCTTGCCTCAATCTCTTCCGGACTCAGCGATCCATCGTGAATCTTCACCTCATCATACCCACTTTCTCCATCCATGTTTGGTTGTGCGTTGGGAAGGATGCTTTGGCCTCGCACAAAACAAGCCCTTTCAAATGCGCTGAGAATCGAGAGGAAGACGGGGAACTGAGATGTGGAAAAGAGAGATGCGGAAGAGGGGAAAGGGAGAGAAATACTAGAAACTACGGAAGGGAGAAGAGACCTTTTTGGAGGGGGGAGGTTGGGAAAGCTGAGAGAGGAGAGAACTTTGTTTGACTCATACAGAGGTGCACTTTGTGCTCTTCGAATACCTTTAAACACATTCTTTTTTGGTGCACTTAATTTCTCGCATTTCCCGTTAAGTTATTAAGAAAAGAGTAAATCGGGGAAGCTTAACTTTATAAAATAGGAATTCTAGTGAGAGAAGTTGAATCATTGACTTTAAAAATCTCTCAAAAGAGAAATGCGGAAGAGGGGAAAGGGAGAGGAAAGGGAGAGGGAAAATTTTTGTTTTTGTTTACACTCGGTCTTTTCTAGATCTTTCTACATCAAAAATAGGTACCTAAACTTTCTGAAAATATTATCAGCTTATAAATTTACAGATTTTGAAACCTAAACAATTCCAAACATCAAACAAACCTAAACTTAAACAATTCGAACATTAATTTACCTGTGCCAAAGCTTTTTCTGTTCTTGTTGATCTGTTCCGGACGTCCGAATCTGAGCCGATTCATTCTCCTCTGAAACGGAGGTCCGACTCAGAGACTCCTCTGAAACGTTTCGGAGGAGAAGGATCATTCTTACGGAATCGGATGTCCGATCTTGAGAACAAATAATTTAAATGCAAAATCCAATGTTTTGAACAAAACACGCTTAAAAAACACGTTGAAGAGTTCTTTTAAAGAGTTCGAATTGAATAGCTAAGTCGATATTTGCTCGTGTTTTCCTTCATTCATTCAATCGTTCATTCACTCATCTGCCCCATAAACACTCTCATGGGAGTAGTCGATGTAGAGGAAAAGATCCTCCTCGTGGTGATCCTAGAATCGGTTTAAAATTCTTTAGAATTGTATCTTTAGAAATGCAAATGTAAAATGTAGCCTTTGCTGAGTAAATTAGAAATTCTCGGACAGAAAACTGATTCGAATGAATGCGGACGTAAATTGATCTGACCTGGTTAAAAGTACTTTTAAAACCCCTAGCACAGCTTTATAAGATGGTTTTATAAGACAAAGCCTTACTTACAGACACTCAATTTGAGTCTGTAAGGCTAAAAGAAAAGCCTTACAGACAAACAATCAATTTCGGCCAAAACTACCGTAATCTTCCGCCAGTTTTACCCTCAATTAGCCTAATTTTGGTGAAACTCGCTGAGGGAATCACAAGCCTCGAGTTAATCAGAACAAAATTGGGCTAATCGCAGAAGCTAAAGGTGGTTAGAAAACACTTTACTATGAAGAAAAAATTGGTGTTTTTTTAATTTGTGTCCGTGTTTTAACTTATTTGATTAACAAGTCCCATTCAGCTAATTAGTTAACGTTAGCCATTTAGTTTCAAATTCAAATTCAACAGTTTCAAATTTAACGACTTCTAGCCGATGTTTTGTCTTTCTAATTAATGAAGATTTTTCTGTTTCCTCTTACCTGATAGAGTTGTCCCATGGTGGTCATCGTTTGTGGAATGACGTTGTTGACGAAGAAGAAAAGGGCGTAAAGGAAAGAT